TGGTTGTACCATTTTACAGTCCCACCAGCAGTGTATGAGAGTCCCAATCTCTCCACAACCTCGCCAGCATTTGTTATTTTCTGTCTTGTTGATCCCCATCTGTACTCTTGAGTGTATTTCCACAACGGGATTGAGCTGGGAAACAAGCCTGTGTAAAGTCCAAGGCTGTGATGGGTGGCATGTCCTAACTGCTCTCCTTTCCCCTCCCTTACCAATCGGGAGGTTAACACACACGTACATGCACATGTGCAGTGCATACACATGTGCCTTGCGTACACAGCTAACCTCACACATACACACGCATGTGTCATGCACATATGTACAAATACATGCACAAATGTGCTTGCTTTACCAGGGCGTGGGTCCTGGCTGCCGTCCCAGGCACTGACTGGTTCTCTTGCCGCCCTTGCGCCCTAGTGGAAGGGGACCACACAGCCTATGAAGCTGAACACACGGCCGTGCAATGGGCTGCTGCGACACATCCTGCAGCAGGTCTACAACCACTCGGTAACTGACCCTGAGAAACTCAACAACTACGAGCCCTTCTCACCTGAGGTGTACGGCGAGACCTCCTTTGACCTGGTGGCCCAGATGATCGACGAGATCAAGATGACTGAGGACGACCTCTTTGTCGACCTGGGCAGCGGTGAGTGTGGCCCCACGGCAGGCGAGTTTCCGGGTCAGTGGCAGGCACTCCCATCAGGGAGGCATTCGGCAGGAGCAGCTGTGTCTGTTGGAATGGAGGGGGTTTGTCTCCAGGGCCCTGTACCTCCTCCTCCCTTGTCTCCTGGTCTTACCTTGGAGCCCCGGGCCCCTGGCCTCTCGCCCCTCTGCCCCCACCATCAACACTGCCATTTCTCCAGCCTCATCTGGAGGCGGTCCTACAGCCCTAGTCCACTCCTCCTTTCCAGGGCTCTGTCCAGCCCCTCCCCCGTCCCCACTTCTTTCCTGATTGCGACCCTCTGGCTCCAGCCTGAGCTCTTGTCTGCACCAGCCTCCTGACCTATAGCCGCCCCATCACCTGTAATGTATCTTCCTGCCTCCTACCGGTCTGTGCTGTGTCCTGCTCAGCACCCAGGCCCATCCTGCAGTGAAGGGCCATTCCTGTTCACTGGAAGAAGCCCTCCATCCCAGCTCGCTCCCTCACCTGCCCAGCACATAGCTGGGTCTGCTCCTGACATGCTGTCTGGGGCCACGGACCAGGTCCCCATTGACATCTTTGTCCCTTTTCCTGTGTTGTTTTTCCACATCACTGTCCCGTTCCCCACCTCAAGCTCCTGCCTCTTGTTTATCTGGCTGACCCCCAACTACAGTGGACACTTCCCAGAAGGGAGGGGAGGCTCACCTGTCAAGCTCACGGCTCTGTTGGTCAGCTCCACTGTTGAGCCTGGCAGGCCGGCCTGACAGAAACCTTCCTGGGTCAGGGCAGTGGCAGGGCCTTGATGTGGCTGGGGAACCAGTGCTGATGGCGGCACACTTGAACTTGAGAGGCTGGTGCACGGTGCTCCCCATCCCCAGCCTCGCTGGGACAAGAGTCGTGCCAACCACTGCAGAGTCCAGCATTGAGCAGGCGTCATGGCCCCTTGGGGCAGGAGGGGAGAGGATCTTGTTGGTGACATCCCTGAGTGTACATTTTGTGTCAGTAGCATGTGCCTGAGACCATCGATCTCACTGTGCGGTGTGGTCTGTAATGAGACCAGCCAGCACTGGCCTGTTGGGGCCTCAGGGCACACGCAGACCCCTGGGCGATGAGGCCGACGCTGTGCAGAACCCGTGCTTATGGCAGCTCTCCCGCCTCCACCTGGCTTCCTGGGGTCAGCTTGGGCTGCAGCCGGCCTTGGCGTCATCTCCCTGCTTGCACGCCACCCTTGCTTCGTAGGACTGAGTCTGTCTTACTTCATATGGAAACCAGGGGCTCCCAACACAGCACCTCGATGGTGTGGCTGTGTGAGCAGGCTCCCAACAGCTCCGTGCTGAACTCGGAGACGCTGAGACATTGGCGCCTCCGCTCTTGCTCTCCCTACAGATGGCTGTGGGGATCTTTGATTTGGGGTTCCAACTTGCTGGCCTGATGCATTGATGCTGGCACCAGGAAGTGATGGGTGGTGGAGTCTGATGGTGGCCTGCCACAGGCTCTCTCTCAGTCTCTCCAATCCTGGATCAAGCCTCAGACACCCACCCACTCTTAAAGCCTGAGGGGATTTCAGGTGTGAGGAGCCACACCCCATATTAATGCTCTGGGCATCACCGTGACGGTGAGGGGCTGTGTGGTGGCCAGAGCCTGTGAGGCCAATCTGTGGTGTTTTGTACTTGATACACCATAGCCTTGGACTGAGAGTGAGTGCCCATTACGGGTGCCATGGAGTCATGTCCATGGTGATGAGTTGTCATGGAGGTGAGTGCCCCCCGAGCAGGCTCTGCAGTGACCTGGCGGCCTGTAGAGTGGCCTTGGGGAGTGCGTGTATATGGCTTTCTCTCACCGACTGCAGCAGCCCCACTCCCCGCTAAGCCCCACCTATGTGTCCACTGCCCCCCTCACCTCCAACCTGGATGCTCGCTTGTTGGCTGGTCTTTTTTTATGTGTGTGAGTGTGATTTGGGTGAAAATTTACAGAGTAAATTCACTTTCCATACAGCAGTTCACATACACTTTGTTTCATGACACTGACCACAGTTTCCCACAATGCAACAGCTCCCCTCCCACTTCCTCCCC